TGATCTTAGCAGAGTAAAGGGACATTTTCTGGAGCCATTCCTGAACACCCTGCCCCTTCTTTGTGATAGCCTTCTCCCACTTCCCTGCCCCACCGCCTCAACAAAGCAAAGCAAAACAAAACAAAAAACGAAGGCACTTCACTTAGAGACTGAGTCCTGCTTATAATCATGCGTATAACCTTTATTTGATGGATCTGGCCAGAGGGGTGTTGGAGCCCAGCCCACCCACATACCAGACGAGCTCTTAGGGAGCAGAAGAGCAGGAAGAATTGAAATGTTTGATTTTTTTTTTTAATTGACTTTTCTAGTTATTAAAAGTTGCTTGTTTCAGCAGTGATATTGTATAAAGAACATCTTGTAAAATATCTGTCATCTCGCTTTGGCACATGTACAGTACAGTTTATATGATGTGTCTGCTTTACGCCCCCATCGCCCTCACCCACCTGGTCTTCTGCAGAGGAGCTGGGTTGGAGACTGGTCCAGTGGCATCTTGGTGGCCTTCTGCCTACTGTGGCGCTGGCGGCACGCTCTGCCTCCTCCTCCATATCTGCCTCTTCCCATGCCCATTCTGGCTTCAGACTCAGAGCTCCTGCGAACTGCATATGGCAGTGGTCAGTGTCAGTCGGGGTGGAGGGCAGGAGCAGCTCAGAGAGCAGTTCCACAGCCAGTCTAGCCTAGTCGTTATATTTAGGCAAAAGTTTGTAGTCTTCTTTCCCTTTTATGACAGATTTTGATAAAAGTACAAGACAGGGTTTGATTTTTCTATTCTATCAACTTTGAATTTGGAACACGTGAGCACCTCAGCTCTTCTGTATCTATTTAAAGGAAAAGAAGCCCACCAAGGGGATTGCCACTCCTAGGACTGAGAGTAAGCCTCCTGACATGACACTCCCAGGTGTGGTCCCAGCTCTCCTTCTCCTCCCTGCCCAGGGGTTCTGGGACTCGTCTCAAGTGGCTGGTGGGTAGGGTTACCACCCTTCTCCAGGCTTGGGGTAAGCACTGACTTGACACCAGGACAAGCCCTGCCACCACCCCAGCCCCTGCTGCTTATTCTAGATCCAGTCTGTTCTTGTTATAGTGAGAATCCGTGTTCCCACTGCAGTGACACCTGAATTGTTGGTTGTTTTTTTAATTGTCTTTAAGGAGGAAGGGCCCCATTAAAGGGTGAACTTGTAATAAATTGGAATTTCAAATAAACATTATGTACTTGTGTTTATAAAGAAGAAACAATTCTGCAGCTCTTTCTTTGTGCTCTTGCCAAGGTGGCGGGGAGTCCAGTCCTGGGAGCTAATTTCTGGTTGGCCTGGCTGGCTCCCTGTGAGGCTTGGCGTGGCAGGCCAGAGCACCCCTTGCCTGGTCCCTGTGGCCCTGTCCGCCACAGTGCTTCACTTCCTGGAGACAGGCTGGGTGTACTTAGGCAGGCTGGACCTGATCTTGTCTCCATTCAGCTCCCTGAATTTCATCTGGAATTGGGGCAAAGTATTCTTAAGGCTTAACTGTGGGTCTTTGTTCCTTTAGTTTGGGGAGAAACTCCTATATTTTAAAACATTTTTCTTTTCTTTTTCTTTTTTTCCTTTTTTATTTATTTATTTTTTAGCTTTCGGCAGACCCAACATCTTTGTATATGGTGCTGAGGATCGAACCCGGGCCGCACGCAGGCCAGGCGAGCGCGCTACCGCTTGAGCCACATCCCCAGCCCAAAAACATTTTTCTTTTCAAGGGAAATAATTTCAGACATTCACAGAATGGGTGAAAAATATAATGAGTTCCCACGTGCTCGGCTTCAGGGGTTCCACCCGTGACCGCCCTGTTGGATTTCGCCCTCATGTGTGCTTGAGAGTCTGCAGTTGGTTTGAGCAGGCCGCTTTGGGGCAACACCTCTCTTGGGGAAGAGAGCTTTTGCTAAGCCACTGCTGCAGTGCTGCCTGCTGAGCAGTTGGACTGCCAGTTCTTGACCACCCAAACCAGGCAGAGCAAAAGGTCAGATGCCAACCTGGAAGAGGGTTTGAGGGAAGGCCGCAGCCCTGGGTACAGGTTCTGCCGCTGGCCTCACAGCCTTGTGGACATGGGCTTTCTGGGTCAGGGCCTGCACCAAGCACTCAGGGGTGCCCATCCCTTCTGGGGGAAGGTGGGCTTGGCCCCTAGCAGTTTGGATTCCATTCGCTTGTCCCTTCCAGCTGTGGAGGAGAAAGCTCTTCTCTACATGATGGGCAGCACTCAGGGCTCCCAGCCCGGTCAGTGAAGTTCTGTTCTGGGTAGTGGGTTCCTAGGCCCACCCATTCAGCACCTGTGGGACTGTCCTCCCTCCAGGTATGTACGGGACCCTGCTCAGCATCCCATCTCCTTCCTATCTGCCCCTTCCCCAGGCCAGTGATGTTGAGGGAAGCTACTTCACCTGCGATGACTAGTGCAAAGAAGAGCTTTGTTCCAGAGAACTCTACTCGAGATCACCCTCATCTTACAGCCCTGTCCTGGGATGAGGTCTCTGGGTTCCGCAGCAGCTCCTCAATGGGCCTTCTCCAGCTTGGTGGGGGCCAGGGTGTCTAGCAGAGTGTAGAGTGAGGGAGTCAGGAGGACAGAGTAACCCTGAACCCGTATCCTAACCTTGCCCTGGACCTTCAGGCCTCTTCACACTGTGGACTGTCCCAATCCAGGAGCTGCCTTGTGGGAGTGAACACAGCCCTGGGCCCCAAGATCCCTCAGAGGCTGAACTCGGGGCTGAGATTTAACCAAGGCCCTCACTATGCACAAGCTCCGACCCCCAGGTACCACTTGAGGTGTGTAAGGCTACATTCTAAAGATTGAGACCATGAAGGGGAAGAAAGGGACCAGAGCTAATGGTACAGGAGCCAGCAGGTATTGGTTTCTGGGGTGCTGCTGCCTAGTTCTGAAATGTTCTCTCTGAGTAGTTGTGGAGATCTATCCAGTTGCAGAAGGGTTATTTTTCTCCCTCACCTGCTTTACCCAGTTTATGTGGACTGGACCTCTCTGAGTTATACACCAGTGCACAGGGACCAGAGAAGTCTGGTCCTACCTCCCAACACAAGAGGGAGAACAGGCAGTTCCCCACACTGGACCAAATCAGATCCTTGGTGTAGGACTCTCAGAAGCTCTGGAGGCCCACTGGGTTAACTCCCAGCACGTCCTCAGGCCATGCGGCTGTGATTTTGAACCAGTGAAGCACCAACACTTGCCCAGGGGAAGGCTCTGTCCAAGGCTTAGAGCATCACTGCTTCCTTCTCCCCTCAGGGTCTTCAAAGGCTCATCCAGGGCTGAGAGGCCTTTGCTGGCATTGTGTGCCCTCCTCTCAAGCCCTGGCCAACGTGGACCATTGTAGCCTCAAACCTGCCCTCCTGACCGTATCATTGCCCCCGCCCCTCCAGGATCTGAGTGGATACAGCCAGGGCC